AATAGGAGGGAAAACAAAGGCCAAATTCCCTTAATCATCCATCACAATGAGTTAAACCATATAATACAGTTCTGATGTGCAGCAACAGATAATTGAGCTTCACAAATTAGAAAGTGACTTTAATAAAAAAGCTAGAGCAGTGAAAATTCCCATTTCCACCATCAGGGCAATAATTAAGAATTTCCAATCAACAGAAAATGTTACAAATCTGCCCGGAAGAGGACGTGTGTCTATGTCTATATTGTCCTAATGCACAGTGAGGAGGAGAGTTTGAGTGGCTAAAGACTCTCCAAGGACCACAGCTAAAGAATTGCAGAAAATAGTTGAGTCGCAGGGTCAGAAAACCTTAAACAAAAAAATCAAACAGCACCTACACCACATGTTGTTTGGGAGGGTTTCAAGACAAAAAAATCAAGAAAAGAATATGCTCTCATCCAAAACCAATCCCCAGCATATTCTGTTGTCAGACACGACTGGAACTTCAAATGGGACTGGCTTCTATGGTCAGATGTAACTAAAAAAAAATTATCTTTTTAGCAACGAACACTCAAGATGGGTTTGGTGCACACAGGGATAAAATAAATATTATATATAGATATATAATGAAATATACTGCTGTATTTTTAATGTTGTGGGCCTATATTTTTGCTGGAGGTCCTGGACATCTTGTTTAGATACATGGCATCTTTGATTCTATCAAATACCAACAGATAAAAAATCAAGAACTGACTGACTCTGTTAGAAATCTTATAATGGGCCACGTTTGGATCTTCCAACCGGACAATAATCCAAAAACAAACCTTAAAAACAACACAAAAATGGGTCACTGGGCACAAAACCAAGCTTCTGCTATGGCCATTCCAGTTCCCTGACCTGAACCCTATAGAAACTGAGTGTGGTGAACTGAAGAGAAGAAGCACCATCATGGAGCTGGGAATCTGAAGGGTCTGGAGAGATTCTGGATGAAGGAATGTCCTCTGATCTCTTGTCAGGTGCTCTCTAACCTCATCAGGCATTATAGGAGAAAACTCAGAGCTGTTATTATGCCAAATGGAGGTTTCAAAAAGCATTGAATAAAAGGGTGCCGTTAATTGTGTCCAATGTGTATTAGAGAAAAACATGTCATAATGATATTTCCCCCCATTTTAAATTCTTATTCTCCAATGAAAGGTTAGATTTATGTGAATTTTTTTTATAAAATATCAAAATGATTAACAATGCAGATTTATTTTCACAGCCTTCTTTGATCATATTTACCAAGGGTGCCAATCATTCTGACCACGACTGTAGATGGAATACAAAAAGATTAGAAAAGCTAGTGTAATTATTATTAATTATTACAATTATTACTTAGCTTTTTTAATAAATAGAATTAGAATAGAGAGTGCTAGGAAAAATGGAAGAGATGTATATATAATTCTAATTCTAAATAGAATTATTGCAATCAACAATTCATCAAATACCATTAAATCTATAGGCCCTGTGTGTTCTTTGCGGGGCTTGTTTTTTTGTTTTATGGATGGCTTGTCTAAAAGCACCAATAAGAGAATATTACCAACTACTCTTCCTTTTAATTACACAAATATTTCATTAAAAATGTCTACAAATTTATAAAGCGGATCCGAGATCAGATAAAACCCATAGCCTACTGGTTCAATTGTTCTCATTCATGGGTTCACAGAGATCGGCCCCGAACGGAAACCATTGAACTTTCGAAATATTTCAGAGCGATGAAATCACGTGATTTTGACAGTCTGATACGGGCTCCGAGCCACTGGTTCGAAACAAATGATTCTTAAAAGATTCGAATCTTTAAGTGATTCGAAAGCACCCTTGGGAAGAACCGATTCGCAGAAATGAGTCGGTGGCTTTTTCGTCGCTACAGTGTTACTTACATCCATCATAGTCCTCCAGCCACTGGTTTTGCCGCTCAACAGTGGCTCTGGGAGAGCCAAACCAGCATTATTAATGCACACGTCAACTCCCTGATGTTGAACTTTGATCCAGGAGAACATGGATAACATGTCGTCCTCTACAGACAGATCACATTTATATGGTATCAGAGTGCCGCTGAATCCACTACTGACACATTCCGCAGCCAGTTTCTGCAAGACAAAAGAACACACGATTCTTCAGCCGGTGCATACACATGTACTTCTCGCGAGTGTATGCTATAAAGCATATGCTAACGGTGCATTACCTCTATTTGCTCCACATTTCTGGCACAGCCGACCACTTTCATGCCATGCTGGACAAGAGACTTTGCGATTGCAGCTCCGATTCCCACTGAAGCTCCAGTGACAAGAGCAACCCTGCCTTTCCAGCGATCCATGTTGCTTGTTACTCTCACGAAGATCGGGTCCTGGGCAGCTGACTGGTCACAGTGATCAGGTTTGCCAGGTCCAGCAAAGCTTTTCAGCTCAAAGGTGTTTTAACACCGCCCAAACACACCCTCGTACACTAGCCTACACGTTCAGCATTGCTTTTATCTGATTTGAGTGATTTTTAGCTAGGCTTTATTACCTTTATTATAGGCTATATTCTGATTTATTTAATTTGGTACGTAATTTGATCATCTCCTTTTAATTTGTGTTTTTCATTCTCTTTAAATTCATTTGAATTAAACATGCAACATGCATGTTTTGGATGAGTAAAAAATTAATAAAAATTCTGATAACCGATAGTCCATTTAATAGTAGGCTATGTAATGGTAAGAGGTACAGGTGGTATGTGTTTATGCATGAATTAGTATGCTTTTTTGATATTGTCTGCCTCTCAAAATAAAGTTGTTTTTTTTCTTTGAATTTAAAATTCTAAAAGTTGCCATTTCCTTCTCAGCTCTCCTTTGGTTGCCAGGTATTCAGTACCAATAACAAATCACCCAACTTGGAACGTCAATGAATAACCTGTCTTCTGAGAATCTGGCCAATGAGAGCACACTTCCTTTTTATTCCATACAGCTCTAACAGGTGCAATAAATATTAAAAAGTGTTCAGCCTGTGAAATTTTCACAGGGTTAGTTATTCATTATACACTGAAACACTCTAAAAATGCTGGGTTAAAAATAACTCAAATTGGGTTATTTTGGCAACCTTTCGCTGGCTTGTTTTTAACCCAACTGGTTGCTGGCTTGTTTTAATTAACTATTGATTGAAAATTACTATTGCTGGCTTAAAATGAACTAAAAATAGGTCAGAAATTTAAAATCACACACAGAACTACTAGAGGCAACAGTAATAATCAATTAGTGAACATTTATTAAGAGAAAACACCCAAAAATCATTGTACACTCTAAAAAATGCTTGGTTGTTTCAACCCAACTTTGATATGGAAATATGGACTAACCCAACCGTTGGGTTAAATTTTTACATTCAATTTTTAACCCAAAAGTTGGGTTAGTCCATATTTGACCCAAAGTTGGGTTGAAACAACCCAGCATTTTTTAGAGTGCACACATGGCTGAATGACAATAAAGTTTGATTCGCCTTGAATTATTTGATGAATGATAAATATCTTGCTTCCGAGTAAAACCTCAACATAAATCAGACAGTGAGAACACAGAGGGATGTGAAAATAGAGCTGACAAATAAGGCAGTGCTAACACAAAAAACATAACTCCTAGAATAATACACTTCACGTCCATACCGCAGCTGAACGGGGCGGTGTGTATTTACCATGGCAGTCCCGTCAGAAAACGTCAGGTTTGAAAACGCAGAAAGCTGCAAGACAAACAAAAGACGGTTATATGGTATTCTTTCATTCTTATGATGTGTTAAAGTTTCACTTGTTTATACATACAGCAAATTACCTGTTCTTTGCTGAGTGGAATCGCTTTCTCAAATATTGTCCAGACCACAGCTTCAGAGCAGCCTGGTGTGGTGAGGGACCCCTGGTAGCGGAAGTACCTCTCCAATTCATTATGGGGGAGAATGAGCATGTCTAATGATACAGCTGACAGTGTTACATTGGTGCCTAAAAAATATGTTTTACAAGTTGTCACGAAGTTCCCGTTCTTTGTTCTAAATATAGCCTGTCTGAATAATAATAGATTATCAAACAAGTTCCTCCCATATTAGAGCTATCGCAACCTTGAGTGACTACAGCACTGCTGTAAATCAAACAAGAAGCAATAAAAACGTATTTATTAAGTTTCGATGCTGGCTTAAAATGAACCAAAAATAGGTCAGAAATTTAAAATCACACACAGAACTACTAGAGGCAACAGTAATAATCAATTAGTGAACATTTATTCAGAGAAAACACCCAAAAATCATTGTACACTCTAAAAAATGCTCGGTTGTTTCAACCCAACTTTGGGTAAAATATGGACTAACCCAACCGTTGGGTTAAATTTTTACATTCAATTTTTAACCCAAAAGTTGGGTTAGTCCATATTTGACCCAAAGTTGGGTTGAAACAACCCAGCATTTTTTAGAGTGCACACATGGCTGAATGACAATAAAGTTTGATTCGCCTTGAATTATTTGATGAATGATAAATATCTTGCTTCCGAGTAAAACCTCAACATAAATCAGACAGTGAGAACACAGAGGGATGTGAAAATAGAGCTGACAAATAAGGCAGTGCTAACACAAAAAACATAACTCCTAGAATAATACACTTCACGTCCATACCGCAGCTGAACGGGGCGGTGTGTATTTACCATGGCAGTCCCGTCAGAAAACGTCAGGTTTGAAAACGCAGAAAGCTGCAAGACAAACAAAAGACGGTTATATGGTATTCTTTCATTCTTATGATGTGTTAAAGTTTCACTTGTTTATACATACAGCAAATTACCTGTTCTTTGCTGAGTGGAATCGCTTTCTCAAATATTGTCCAGACCACAGCTTCAGAGCAGCCTGGTGTGGTGAGGGACCCCTGGTAGCGGAAGTACCTCTCCAATTCATTATGGGGGAGAATGAGCATGTCTAATGATACAGCTGACAGTGTTACATTGGTGCCTAAAAAATATGTTTTACAAGTTGTCACGAAGTTCCCGTTCTTTGTTCTAAATATAGCCTGTCTGAATAATAATAGATTATCAAACAAGTTCCTCCCATATTAGAGCTATCGCAACCTTGAGTGACTACAGCACTGCTGTAAATCAAACAAGAAGCAATAAAAACGTATTTATTAAGTTTCGAAGGTAAATAAAATAACCTTACCAGGATGTGTAATATTTTTCAGAGAATTTATAATGCCATCATATTTTTTATTGGCACTCGGTGATTCCTGTAAAATAAGATGCATGTGATAAAACACTGTTGTATTAGCTGTTAGTAGCAAACATTTAACAAGACATCTGTTGGTTTACCTCATAAAAAAGTCCAAGGACAGCAACTCCTGAAGGGTCATTAATGGCCTGTTCCACAGAGTTGTAATTTTCTTTAATATGTACAATGTGAAGCTGTTAAGGATAAAAAAAAATATGCATGCTTAGTTTCTTATCGATTCACAAATAAGTGTAGGAATAAAGCCTGTCTGTCCACCTTATTTTGCAATGCGGAAATTTTCTGTGAATGTGCGAGACTTCTGATTCATTAGCCACTATGATAATTAAAGTGCAGTAAACTGTAAAACTATTTGGACTACTATAAACCAGAGTGTTTATATATAATATGTTAATAAAATAAAAAAATAAAAAATGATAACAAATAGCACTTTGCAATATCACGCAGCATGACGGATTGTTTTTGTACAGCTAAAATAACCGGAAGTGGATGATACCAGAAGCCACACAACTTCATTCAACTTACAAATGGACGTCCCTGTTCTTAAATTAAAAATAAGATGGATTTCTCAATAGTTACCTCCATAGGGTATTTCTCTCCATCTATAGTATGTTCTGATCCAGGTCCACCATTCTTGCCCCAGTGCAGATGAAGCTGCTGAGCTTTGTAATTGGCTCCTAAATTGGCCCCACTAATTGCTGCTCTGTCTGGCAGATTAACTTGCACTACAGATGATAAAATATATGGCAAAAGTTGTTTATAAAGTGAAATTAATATACAGTTGCCAATAATGGGTAAAGGATATTCACCATGAAAATGTAGGCTATACTTAAGAGTAACTTACCAGTGTGTCCATTGTTTGTAATGAGAGTACTGATTGTCTCTTGGTAGCCTGTAAACTGCACTGGGGTCAGACGACTGTCAAAGACAACTTTCTTTGTTACAATGTTAATAGGTGACTGTTTTGTATTTCCACAGTCTGCGGCTACTATTGCCCAATCATCCGGTCCTATACAAAAAGTCATGTTATGTTAATATAAATCATACACATATGTTCAAAAGTTTAAAGGATTTGATGTCTTTAAAATAAGTATACTTTGCTCATCAAGGATGCATTTCATTGATCAAAAGTACAGTGAAAGCTGAAATATTGTGGTAGTTGTGCTGATTACTACAAATTCTTTGATTAATAAAAAGTTCAAAGAGACTTCACTGTCAAGTTTTGAGCAATTTAAAGCATCCTTTTTGAATAAAAGTGTTTCTTCTTTTTTTTTAAATAATAAAAATATAAATAAATATCTCTGACCCCAAACGTTTGAAAAATACTGTATTTTTTTTCTAATAATTTTATATAAAACATTGAACAAGGCACAATGCTCACCTACGCATCTTTCTTTGGACTGATTGTTGCAAGTTACTTGAGATTGATAGCACCAATCTGAAAGGAAACCAAGTTGACTTATTGCAAACTAATGTATATGTAATATATTGATAATGAAATATATTCACATTTAATTAATTACATGAATACAGACAATGACCAGTGTATGTTGTCTATGTTCAGGTTAAAAAGATTTGAACTGGACCTCTAAAACCTTCAAAGGTGTTTAATTCCATGTTTTAATTCTGAAGTTGCTCAAAAATCAACAACTCTTGTTCTCAGATTCTAATAAATCTTCGTAAACTTATAATTCTTGCAAGCCTTCCAACATATACAGTGCAAAACTTCACTAAAATTGATGGACTAACCTAAATTCAGCAGCATCAGGTTTAACAGTAAATCTGTTTTTATGATAAATAAGATGACATATACACCATTTAACCTGCTTACCTGCACTTGAAGCAAACCTGCATAAAATGGCAAGTACAGAAAAACAGAGCACATTCATCCTTAATATTTGGATATAAAAAAATCCACCTGAAAGATCAATCCAGCTAAACAACAGGGGAATGTATTTTACAATAGGATACTTTGGAGGTGCATTTTATAAGAGCACAATGACCCTCCCTTTCACGTTTTACAGCACAAACTCTACCATAAAACTTACTTATGAGTAATTCAGTGTATCCAATATACTCTAATCTAGTCATGATGACAAAAATGTTCTCCACCCATGAAAAACGTTCACTTGGTTTCAAATAACACATGATAAACCACTTATTATCAGTTATCACTAACTAATGAATAATGTAGTTGCATAGGCCCATCTTTGGAGCAGTAAGCAAAAATGACAACAGTAAAATGAAACTACATTCCATTACTGTTGTATGTATTAATAAAGGTTTTGATACATGGATATACAGCATAACGTAACATAAATACACCTGTGGGTGTGTGAATAGAATGTAAGGCAGATCACCAGTTACGGTCTCTGATCTGAACTAGTTAAGCCATCTAGTGGTGACTCTGGGATAGAATATATGGGATCATACAGCATTTAGACCCCCCCCCCACACCTGAATTGCAGCACTACTTAAAATGCTGACTTGCCCGACATTTCTAAATTGCCTAAAATGTCAGGGTTTTGGCTTTGTTTTGTTTTTTCATAGTGACGTGATCTACAGTCCTCATACAGTATGTACGCGTATTAGCATTGGTTTGACCGTTCTCGCACGCCACGATTGGTCGATTATGTACAATACCTGCACGCTATTGGTCAACCAATGTTTCAGTCATTACCATCACCAAGTATGAAGAAATGGCCTGCCATACAAAACCGGACATTTTAGGCAATTTAGAAATCCCCGTCAGGGCATGTATGTGGAAAAGATGGTGACCTTGCTTAATAATACAGTAAAAATTTATGATAACTTTAATTTATTGATTAATGTTGATTGTATTTAAAATGTCTGAAATAATTGATTGAATCTTTATAAATAAAAAAAAAAAAATATATAAATGTTGGATTTGTGTATTAAATGTAGCAATAATTTGCTCGTCTTACAAACTAAAGGCAAAGATGGTAATTGAATTAACCCTAATCTAAACCTGTCTGGATAATACCCATCTTTTCAAGTAGTTAGTTAAAAGATGCTATCTATACCATGATATTTATTTCAGGACTTAATCTTGTTTTGAACAGAAATAGGCATATAAAGGATGTCCAGGCTCAACCCTTACTGCTTGAACAGTGAGAATACACTTTATAGACGCATAGTTGTAAAACATTATCAAGTTCATGGAATTGATAAAGGATCCATTGGTCTCAGTGAATTGCTCAGTGAGTGATTTGTGTGTCTGATAAAAGGGAGGCAAACAATGTCCTCTAGATTTGACTTTATAGATGCCAACCTTCAGCTTTCATAATCTCAGATGCTCGTGTTTCACACACATGCTGGATATGCAAGCTGCTGCAAATGTTTTGAAATAAAGTGATTTACTAGTAGGCTTTTTTTCCCAGCTCCAGTATATCTGGTATTTCCAGTATGTTCTCTAAATTTCAATGCAAAAATAAAACAAAAAGTGTTGTAACACAAATAAATTTGCAATGAAGATATGCTCCAATGGCATGATCCCACCCACCCACGCCCCCCTCCTATTTTTATGGCATGATATGGCCCACGGGCCCTGGTTTGGACGTCACTGTGCTATAATATTTTACTATGTTTGAATAAGTTTTATGTAGATTTTATTGTTTTACCCTTAGCGCAAAAACAAATGTGCGATCATAAAATATTATGTAATTTAATAGTAAAAAAAAAAAAGAGTTATTATATATATAAAAAAAAAAAAATCCTAAACAATAAGTGAAATAATGGCAAACCATTTGTAAAATGTATTATATATTCCACCAACAAATATACTATAAGTTAGTATGTTTGTTTACCAAGACGACAAACATGTCAGAGATGAGCTTGAGATTAAATACAGAATATTTAGAATATGGGATGTGAGAGGGGAAAAGAAAAAAAAATCTAAGTACTTGTGGAATTACTATTTTTATTGTGCATCATAATTGTGTGTATTCTGAATATATAAATTGCTAGCCATGAAATTAGCAAGACGGAAAAAGGCCATTTTGTTCCAAAAATGTTCAAAAAGGTCTTTGCTTCCAATTAAACATAATATTATTAAACATAATACATTAAATGAGATGAACTGGAATTGACACAGTGGAAATGATCATGACTTAAAAATAATATAAAATAAAGACAGAATACTCCTGTGGTTCATATATACACACTGTTGGACATTATTATTAGACAAATGAAATAAACTAGTGAAAATGAGAAAAGCATATGTTTTAAGAATGTTTACTTTCTAAACTTCACCAGAGCCAAAACTGCCCATATAATAATCACCCAGGTGTATATAATGGGATGTCTGTAAATGAGATGGTTTTTTTTTTTGTACAACACTATCATTGTACATCACAGAGAAGTATCTGCACATCCCCCACTTCCTTCTGTGCGTGTCAAACGAGAGTTTGAGGTTTGGGTTGTCTAGACAACCAAGTCCATCTCGTGTACATCATGTTCAGAGAAATAAAAGAGCGGCCTCCTGTTTATCAAACTACCAAATACTCAGGGGAGACTGGGACAAAAGTGTTTAAATTCAAGCATCTGAGGAAAGTGACACCGAAGAAAGAGTGTCTGATATTACATTTTCCTTTGATAATCTCATAATATGTTTAATCCTGTATGCATATAATATTTCAAAAGATCTACAACTGTTTTACTTATCAGCATCTTACTGTAAAACAATGCCAAATTAGCCATGATTTTAAATTAAACTCATATGACATTTATATGACACAATACCACACCCTCATAAGTATATGTAATAAGCTGATGAAACAGTGTGGTTTTGCACAACATAGCAACCACCCCTCCCCCCCAGGAAAGAGCTCTACAAGTGCCGCAAGCAAGATAATGCTTCAAACATTCAAGTTATTACGAAACTATTCATAAAAACACACACAAAACAAGTGTAACATCTTCCACCGGTGATATCTGCTCACATACCAACCCCGCTGTTATTTAAAACTGATGGAATATCATGTTTTTAAAGCCCCACCATCAGATGTGGAAGCCTGATGCAATCTGATCACATGTTTAGTAGACTTCCTCTTTAATTCTTTGTGTGATTTTTATGTATGCTAAAGACCGAGGGCTTTTTCTCTCATTTCTGATCTGTCTTTTATCAGTTAAAATGCCCTTAAAAGGAATTGATTCGAGTCCATCTTTGAACGAAACTAGTCCAATAGGCGCGCATTCGTGCTTCTTTAAGACAGCGACTGCAGGGCCTCTTCCTGTGGTTTGCACCATGTGGCCTAAAAAGTGTTAAAAGGCGACAACTTCTTTCTCTTTTCGCTGTTGTTTCCGGGATCAAGCAGGCAGAGAACTGGTAAGTCACTGCTCTTCGGTTTAACTTAAAATGTTGGATAAATATGACCACATTTCTGTTTTCAGCTACTAGTAAGGGATGGTAAACTGCTTGATGTAATGTAAATATAATGAGGTGAATATGCTAAAACTTAATGATAGCAAATAATGTTTAAAAAAGTGAATGAACTCAATTTTTTATTAAAACATCAATTATTTTTTTTAACTAGTAGTTACAAAACCAAAATGTAATAGTCAATTCCAATGGTTCACGCTGAATCCATTTCACATAGCTACATTTTTTATGCAAAGCGGCAAAACTGCAGGTATTATACATTGTTTTATTTTAAATGAGTTAATTACACATGTAATATTTCATTTTCACCTACAGAACAGGCAATAAAAATGACTCCACTTCCTGGTGGTTTACAGTGACTCGCTATGAACAACTGAAGCTGATGCAGCTGAACATCCAACCATACTAAAACATGATCTGGCTTATTTTATTACATCATTTTGATCCAATTCTCATTTCAGGTTTAACAAATAGTTGTAAAACGAGCATTTGGAGCACATGGAGATAAGAGGAAGCGTGCAAAGAAACGATTGGAGCGCGAAGAGGCGGGAACATCAGAGGTACAGTGCAGTCACTCATAAAGTAGACAGCACTACTAAAGGTCTCTACACAGTGTAGTGTTTCCTACTTTATGGATGAGTGTACTGTTGGCTGCGATGGATGATCTTATGGAGAACCAAAGATGCTGAATCTGAATGTCTTGTGAATTACGTATTAATAACGATTGTGTTCCATGACTAACTGTAATGCAGTAATGTTTTTTTGAATGCATTCGTCTTTATATTTGCATGTTAACTTGTATCAAACAACTCTGAATTCATTAAACAGTAATAAAATGAAGCTGAACTGCATAACTGTGTGCGAAACCTATAGTGCAGTTGTTAAACTAACACCAGTGCAGTTGCTGTAAACAGGAAGGACATTACAAAATAGCTCAAATCATATAAAGACATCAGCAGTGAAAAGAAGACGCATAAAGTATAAAAACACAATTATTAAGTTATCATTATCTTTTAAGGCTAAAATGCACTAGCTGCTTCCAAAAGCTCTTGTATTAACCAGAAATCTATTTCCTTTTACATATTTAATTAATGCTAAGCAGAGTGCGAAGAGGAAAGGTCAAGTGCATTTAGAGACACACTACACAATATGTCATGTACATTACAGGAAACAAGACATGTTATATGGTTTTAAAAAAAAATGGAGCTGGAGCTGAATTCAGTAAAGTGGGTTATAATCACAGTCTGAGGTCACTCTCCTGTTCCTGATTTCTGATTACTCATTTCCTTCAGTCCCAGGGCAGTGGTTGCAAAAAGTTTGATGGCACAAGACCTCGATAACCATGTAGATCTCCCTGGATCAATATAAAACAGTCATTCTTTAACTTATGACCTTTAAAAAACACATGCATGGTAAACAGAGTTATATTACTCACGTCATAAAATCCATCACTGTCCATTTCCCCCAAAACATAAATAATATCTCCTGCTCGAAAGGGAAGCTCATCCTAAAGGAGAAAACAACAACAATAATAATAAAAAAACATTGATTTAAAATTCTATTTCATCTTTTAAAATTCAATATTTGTATAAGCACCTAGTTATCAATAAATCAATACAGGATGTGAAGTCTATGTCCTGATTCTTATCTTTAAAGAAATATAACAAATGAATGAATTAATAAATAATAGATCAGACTTGTTATATTTATAAACTATTTTCATATTCATATTTCATTGTCTATGTGTACAACCTTTCAAAAGGACTATAATTGTTTTACTTTTTTCAGCGTGTTACCGTAAAGCAATGTAATATATGATTATTATGTGAAAATGCTACAAATTTTAAAATAAAGCATAATGATAAGCAATATGTATACTAATTTCAATGCATTAATATTAAAATATCTAAAATATTACTTAAAACATTTTTTTATTTAATTTGTAATAGTAAAAAATAAAAATTTATAAATACTTTTATATTATAATATTTATAATATAATAAATTATTTCAAATGTTTACATTATATTATAATATCTGGTATGTTGTCAAATAAAAAAACTTTGGGGGGTATTCACGAGTATAAACCTTGGGGTGGTTACTAGAGCGGTTGCTAGGGTACCCGGGGTGGTTGCTAAGGTGTTGCTCTGCGGTTGCTAGGGTACCTAGGGCAGTTGCTAGGGTGTTGCTATGCGGTTGCTAGGGTACCCGGGATGGTTGCTAGGGTGTTGCAATGTGGTTGCTAGGGTACCCGGGATGGTTGCTAAGGTGTTGCTATGCGGTTGCTAAGGTACACGTGGTAGTTGCTAAGGTGTTGCTATGTGCTTGCTAGGGTACCCAGGCGGTTGCTAAGGTGTTGCTATGCGGTTGCTAAGGTACTGGGGGGGTTGCTAGGGTGTTGCTATGCGGTTGCTAGGGTACCCGGGGCGGTTTCTAAGGTGTTGCTATGCGGTGACTAGGGTGTTGCTATGTGGCTGCTAGGGTACCCGGGGCAGTTTCTAAGGTGTTGCTATGCGGTTGCTAAGGTATTCGGGGTGGTTGCTAGGGTGTTGCTATTTGGTTGCTAAGGTATTCGGCGTGTTTTTTCATATTTATTGGAAAATGCAATCACCTCAATATCCATGTTTGGAGAACTTTCCCAAGGGTCATAATCAAAGATGGCCACCATCCTGTGAACCTTCACGCCATCCGACACACTAGAAGTTTCACTGGGTGCTAAAATTAAAAGTACAAAGCAGCCATGACTCAATCCCTAAATCCCTTAAATATATGGCTAGTTTTATCAAGTAAAAAAGAAAGATAAAATGTAAATACTTGCCTATGGAAGGCGTCTCCTCTGGTAAAAACCCCTGCTGGAACAGATGAAGTTTAAACTCTCCGTCTTCCACAGGAATCTCAGAAACCATGTTGCTCGGTACAAAACCAAAGCGGCCACCGGTCTCCCCGCTATAGAAGCCGTCAGCATCTTTATCTCCATATACCTACAAAAGAGCACATCTCGCTATCTCTGAGGCTCCCATCACAGCATGAGCTAAGTAGGACAGAAATGATCTGAAGATCACGCGTTTCATTTAGCAGGTTCATGTAAGATGCAAAAGTTCAGATTTACTATTGTGGGGTTCTGAATAATTGTGAATTAAGATATAAGAAGATACAATAAGTAAATAAATAAATAACCATTGTTACTTTAATGATCTGTCCTTGTTCAAAAGGCAGTTCCTCCTCCATTGTTTCAGGGTTTGGTGACATCACCGCAGGGTTGTATGAGAACAGAGCCACAAAGAGGCGCACGTTCGGGTCAAACATTTCCCTCTTGGATTCCCAGTTCTCTATATCTTTTGGTGTAGCAACCGTAAGACCATCTGGATATAGACAGACATCCAGCCCAACCATTCCAGTCTGCTTCTATGCCTGCAACTGTCCAACTGATGCCCCCTCAGTAGGCAGACAGGTGGTTAGCAAACACCCATATGCTCTCTATAGCTTTAGCATTAAGAGCTGTAGCCAAGCTAATCTGCCTCAGACTAATCCTCTTGGAACAAATGAATCAGTTTTACCTGAGACATCATCAACTACTAACCTGACACGTCAAATGGTTATCAAGTCCATTTTGTAAAGTCAGTCTACAAAACTCTTTAGTGAAAGAACAGATTTCACATCATGGACTTGAAGCACTGAGGAACTGGAATAACACTCTGCCAGTGCATTTGGCTCAGTCTTGCTGCACACAGTCCTGCCGATTAGCTGAGCCATCCGTTCTGTACTGTGCCAAGTAGAGCTAGCTGTCAACCACATTATCGTCAAGGAAGTAACCCTGCAAGTCCCTTTCACCTTTTCAGGACAATCCTTTACAGTCAACAAAAGGTTTGCATGGGTCAACCTAAGGAAACCAAAAAACATTGTAGAGATATTGTATAAACCAAATACCACAGTCATGGGAGAGAACTTGACTCACGGTTCTGCTGTTGACTGGTAAGGTAAAACAGCATCTATTCTATTCTATTCTATTCTGGCATTTTCTATTTGTATTTGCCATATTCCTGACACGTCCATATTCTGACACTTGAAGTGTTCATACACTACCAGTCAAAAGTTTGGAATATTTATTTATTTACGTGTTCCTTCAGTGTGGGGACAATTTTTTTTGGTTGATCAAACTTTTCTTGATTTACACACCTTAGAACGGACTGGTTATCTTTTTGGAGCACATACAATATCTATTTTGTTTACATGTTGTTGAAAAAAAAAACTCTCTTAAGCTTATTATCATTATTCTCTTATGTTTATGCTTATTAAGATTGCATTTATTTGATCAAAATATAATAAAACAGTAATATTGTGAAATATTATTACAATTTAAAATAACAGTTTTCTATTGTAATGTATTTTAGAATGTAATTTATTCCTGTGATGAAAACGCTGAATTTTCAGCAGCCAACAAAAACTGTTTTCAGCATTGAGAATAAGAACCATTATTAGTAACTGAGCACCAATAATTATTGCTAATAATTCAGCATCAAATCAAAACATTTTTCTAAAAGATGCCTGGAGTAATGGCTAAAAAAATCAGCTCTGTATTACATCAATACATTACCTTTTGATATATTAAAAATAGTTCTTTGAAATTGTAATAATATTTCACAATATTATTTTAAAAAAATAAAAAATTAATGAAGCCTCAGTGAGCATGACACTTTTAAAAACATAAAAAAATAAATTACTCAGAAATGTATTAGTACTGTTTCCAAACTGAAGTGTATATGTCAGTTCCAAATGCTTATCAGTTATCTATGATACTTATTAAATATTTATAGAGAACAATGAAAAAGAATCAACATGATGAAAGGCATTTTAAAGATGCATTAAACTTTGAGACAATTAGCCCCAAGTCTCCCCCATATAAGGGATACAAATTGTACGGGTTTTGTAAAATGACTCATATGAAGATCCAAGTTGCTTGTCTGTTCCATCAGTCTGATATCTAGCACATCTATAACCTTTCTGAGCATGGACAAAACATGAGACACATTATCCCCTAAATCCTCCACTCCATACAGGAGGGTCGCTAGATATGGTAATAGTGGGTGACTCATTCTCCCATATTGCATTTGTTCTTAGAAGACCTCTGATGTGCCATCATCATCACTGCTGAAATGTGGCCTCTTGACTCCCATATAAGGACTATTACATCATGAGTGAGGCACCCATACGGCAAGCCGTTTTAACATTTATTCTTTAAACATTTCCTATCTTACATTACTAGTTAGTAGTATATAGGTTACTGGTAGTTATACTAGTACATTTACTGTAAATTATTTAATAGTTCTAGTCTTAGACAAATACCTATTTATGCAAACTCATAACAGTACATATATCTCAATTGTTACTAGTAGCATTTAGAGAAAAGTAACAACATAAAATTAAGATGACAAGACATTAATAAACGTCTAACACTCCAACTTAATTAATTCAGACTCAACAAGGTGTACTCGGACCCAACACTAGATGCATTTCTTATAAAGTACATATGTTTTTGTAATATTCCACTAGTTACAATTACTGTTTTAACTGTCATATGCAATCGCTAGTCAAAATGTTACTTTACAGTTCTTTGTAGTTTGTTCTGTTATCTTCTATAAATTTAAAGAAACAACTGGAATTCGCATTAATGTCTAATAAATACGTAATGGTTTCTTTTAAAAACAAGAAAAAATGGCATACACTCTAAAAAACACTGGGTTAAAAACAACCCAATTTTGGTTGTTATTAACCCAAGGGCTGGGTAAATATAGAACAGAACCCATCTTGGGTTAAATTTACCCAGCAAATTGGGTTGTTTATTTAACCCAGCA